TCATCATCGATCATCATGGTGCCTATGACTGGCCCAGGAGCACGGCTAGTCACCACCACTTTCGGAGACGACTCAGGGGCAGCAGCCTTCGCCCTCTTATTCGTTCCCCCGTCCATGGAGGAACGCCTTCTTTTTGGTTGCTTGTTCTCCGTTCGGGGACTCCGTAATGAAACACTTGTACCCGAAGCAGGCCCGAAGACACTTGTTCGAGTGAGTGCCTCTTGAAATAGCCTCGCCACATTAGTAGGGTCAGCCAAAACACCCTCATCGAGGACATCAATTGAGCTAGAGAGTAGATCTGATTTCAGAGAAAAGATGTTGATGCGATAGTGAAGTGAATCTGGGAACTCGGCATTTTTGCTCATCGCGGACGCGGCAGAGGTCATGCAATCGTGAAGGTTCATCTAGTTGTGGTACAGGTTCACGTTGAGAGTTATACATTTGTTTAAGGGGATTAGAGGCTGGTGGAAGGTTGTTCATCGCGGTCGTGAGTTTTGATATAGGTTGGCCAAAGTGTTCATCGCATTCGCGAGGTGTCTTCCGCAAATAAGTAGCTCGTTTCCTTTGGCACTGATTCTTGTTCTCCGTAATCGCGAAGTGTGTTCCGCGATCGCGTAAGAGGAATGCCTGGGCAGAAGTATAAAGTACTCTATTTTGGGAGTTTTGACCATTTTAGCATATTTGGAGCTATGGAGCTTTGATTGAGACGATTTTTGGAGCAATTTTTATCATAAGGATTGGGGTAAGTGTTCTATACTCGATTTTGATTATATTTCATGAATCTATCTTCGTTTTAGCAATTGGATTGTGAATTTTAAAGAGAAATTGGGGGTTTTAGCCTAAAGTTTCATAGAGTAAATTTTTGAGTTTTGAACATCGATTCGGATTTGGATTTGGGTGAAAATAGTATGGTTGGACTCGTAATTGAATGGGTTGTTGGATTTTTTTATTTTATCGGGTTTCGAGATGCTGGCGCGGGTTAGACTTTTGGGATGATTTTTGGGCTTTTGATTAAGGATTCTACCTTTATTATTTGGAATTGTTTCCTTTGGTTGTATTTGATGTATTTGAGGTTCTTTGGATAGTTTTAAGCCGTTCGGAGGTCGGCACACACGGGATGGCATTTTTGGAGCATCATTTGTCTTGCTCGGTATTGGAATTAGCTTGGTTGAGGTAAGTAACACTTCTAAACTTGGTGTTGAGGGTATGAAACCCCAAATTACGTGTTAATTGTTTGGCGTTGAGGTGACGCACATGTTAGGTGACGAGCATGTGGGCGTGAACTGTGTGAATTGTGACTCAATTATTCCTGTGGTACTGTATAGTTACCTGATCTTATATGTAACCATGAAATCTCTGCGTACTAGAGCTATTGAGTTGTGATCCATGTTAGAAACCATGTCTAGACTTCATGCTTATTCTATTGGAACCCACTAGTGTCATATTGCTGTTGAATTATTTTTTTAAATTGTAAATTCATACTCAGTCATGTTCATTTATTTCATATCATATCTCAGTCTCTGTTGCTATTTATTGACACATCATATCATCATTTTGGGCTAGTTTCATGGCATTGTGAGCCCGAGAGACTAGAGAGATTGATGACTGAGTGGGGCCGGGGGCCTGATGGTGAGGATGTTTATTGGATCGGGCTGCGTGCCGCAGCATATTTTATTGGTTTATGATTGGAGCAGATTGTACGCCGCAACATGTTTTACTGATTTATGTCATGATTGGCTTATTATAGTACTTGGACTGAAGGAGCCCTCCGGAGTCTATACACATCCCCAGTGAGCGTATATACATGTGGATTGGGTTGCACACCGCAACGGGCCATATGGCTATCTATTTGTGGATCTGGTTGCACACTGCAAAGGGCCTTATGGCTATATGTAGATCAGGTTGCATGCCGCAGCAGGTATTGTATAGTGCTGACTGACTGAGTGTGCTAAGTATTGAGCATAGTGAGAGAGAATGTGAAACAGTGAGATTGAGTACTCTGAGAGTGTGAGTACATGAGTTCATTATTGAGATGCATTGCGTTAGACATGCGTTCTTGAGATACATGCATAGAGATGCATTTCCTTCCGCTATCCGGTTTTGGTGACATTCATGATTTTATCTATATCGTGACATGTAGGCATAAAGATGTACGTTCCACACGCTATCTGAAAATGAAACATCTTATTTATTGTAGAAAGCTTTTGGGAAAAATCACAATTTTCAAACTTATTCATATTTTTGGCTGGGTAAAAGATTTGGGTTTTTACTGATAAACTTGAAAAGCAGACCTATTTTCTGGAGTTGTGAATGAGCCGAGCATTTTATCTCTGAGTTACTTCTTTTATTACTTTCATTATGTTGTTATAAACTATTGTTGGCTATTGGTGTTGGACTCTGACCTATGTTCTAGCTCGTCACTACTTTCAGCCTAAGGTTGGGTTTGTTATTTATTGAGTACATAGGGTCGGTTGTACTCATACATCACTTCTGCACCTTACGTACATATGTTGGATGATGTTGTTGTGATCGACGAGAGCTGGAATTGAAGACGTACCTGCATTCCGGATGTAGCTACCTCTTGTCCATGATAGCCTTAGATTTATAAAAATCTGTTTAACTACATTTCAAACAGATGATGTATTTATTTCATATCAGCTTGGTAAATTCTAATATTAGAAGCTCATGATTTGTACTACTAGTCTTTGGGAATTGTATAGGATTCAGATATTTTCTTATTTAATTGTCTTATTAAATTTCATTAGAATTGGATAGTTTTTAATTGGTGTACCTAGCGGGTTGGGTTAGGTGCCATCACGACTAGTTGGATTTTGGGTCATGACATGGCAACTGCAACAAACTGTTCCATCCACCCATAGTCGTTGTTGTCATCCATGCTAGATAATAGAGCATGATGACCGCGTTTGCTGAAATTAATCATTCCCCCGCGAAAGATTTTGGGGGAATAGAGATTCATATCATGAGCTAAAGATAGCTCCTCTCCCATTTCTTGTCACAAGCGCCGAAGATATGCAATCATCCTCCACACAGAAGGACATACTTGTGCCAAACACACTTGATAGCGGGGGCAGAACTCTGCAATAATGGAGTCAAGCTCTTTGCTAAAAAAGAACGCACCCAAAGTAAAGGGATACATTTAAAAATATGTCAAACCCTCCTTAGGTAGAGTCACTCGCTCATTAGATCAGGAGCAACAATATCCAATTCAGAGAAGCGGTTATCTTCCTTCACAACAGAAATATTGGAAGGGAGAATGAAGAAGGGTATTTGTCGATAGCCCACATGTGAGGGAGAGCCAAAGGAAATTTCTCTTCGAAGTCTTTTGATGTAACAAAACTTCTAGGAATGATAGAATCCACCATTGGAGGAGCAGCATCATCGGATTTGCTCTTGCCCTATGGAGAGCTGACGTTCTTTGAAAAAGAAGTCATTTGGACGAAAGAAAAGCTTTTCCATTTGAGGGGAGTTAAAGAAAGGTTGATTAACAATAAGGAAGATTTTAGAAAGCTTGCAAAATTATGGAGTATAAGGGGCGAAGATTGATGCGTATAAGTAAAAGTTTTGGCGGCTAAATTCGTGGCTATGATTAACTCGATAATCGGTAAAAGTTATGCAGAATCATGGGATGACGCGTGTTTGGGGCATTAAATGCGGAGAGACGTGTGTCTAATCAACCGTCAGAAGCCTTCAAAGGGAATCATAGTAATTCCCGCCAAAAGATTATTTCTACCAACTTTCCGGTGACACAAAGCTATGTCACCAGAAAGCAGGGAGACTATCTGTATAGGGTAAAATATGTCACGTCAGGTGACCATTTAAAAGAATGACACGTGGAACCGAAGATAATTATCCCATTTGATACCTGAAGGAAGGACATTTATAAAGAAGCAATAAATACCTTCTGCCATTGGTGGCATTAATGAAGAATATTCCACAGAATTAAGTACGCTGCCTGTTACAAGGAATTTGACATTTATGTTCACCGTTACATCTCCATCAATGGTCCTCATAATTAACATTCAAAAAGGGCACGATCCTAGGATCCCGTTCCCTAGACGTAGCTATAAATAGCGAACTCTTTTATCATTGTAAGAGACAAATTTTCTGGCAAACTGAAACTACAATCTACTCAAAACTTTATACTATTTTACCTTCTTATTCTGTTCTTATTATTGTTGCGCCCGGAGGCTTCGCTACCAGAATCTTCACTTCTGTCATTTCGTCTTCATATCAAGGCTAAGTGGTATATATTTTTCTTTTGTTATCTTATCATTTCAAGATTGAATTAATTCACTTGTCTGGAAACCACGTACAAATTCAACTGTACCAATTTACGGGTAAACAATTGTGAGTTTTTAAAAGGACATAAAATGTTTTAGTTTGTAGCAACGCATGTATATTTCTAAGGTGAAGAGCATAGGTAAAATACACGGGTCATGTATTTATTAGTTTGGTATAAACTTTAAATGTTACTAGTTTTTATCGTTGAAGATACATCCTAAAAAGAAAAAAATAATTAATAAGGTAAAAACAAAACAATCGATAAGGTAAAAACTGATCCACACCAGGGATTTATATCAAAATAGAGAATCCAAGACTTGTGGAAACAGCGTCTTGCAGAAATGTAAGGTAAGGCTGCGTACGATAGACTCTTGTGGTTCGGCTCTTTCCTGGACCCCGCGCATAGCGGAAGCTTAGTCCACCGGGTTTGGTTTTATTTTTTTTAGAGAATCCAACACTTTTCATACACATTTCTTACTTAGTTAAATAATGCATGTTCTTACTTTAATTTTTAACTATTAAGGTTAAATTGTTTGATTTGATCTAGATACTGGGTGTATTTAAGTATGTACCCAACTAATAGGGTGCTTCCGTTCCGTGTAGTAATGTTTTAGATAAAGTGAGCCGTTGTAATGACCATCATTAGACAGATAATTTAGGATATTAATACTAAATTCAAACTAAGTCCAGATCAGCTAAGGTTTATTACAAGCAGAGAACAGAGATAATTTAGAAAGAAAAATCCAAAAGAAAAAAAAAACTAGCCGTTGGAGTCGCCAATACTTCCCTCTCCCACTTGAATCGGAAAATAGGTCGTTGTCTGAAACATAACGTTCCAATCTAACCATCATCCTCTAATAACCCTTCAGCAGCAGCTGTATGTTTCTGCATCCAAGAAAATAGAAATTTTTCCCAAAGAACAAATATACTTACTTCTTTAGGTTCCAAGAACCAAACAGAAGAAAGAAGTGGGTTTAAGAAATGGGTGAATCGACTTCAGCTTGTCTTGTATGGTCCTTCTCTCAACCTTCTCAAGAACGCAGTGAGGTTAGTCCGATTAACCAGATTCAAGTTTGCTGCTTCAAAATTTCATGTATATTGTAGTTATTTTGGTAAAATGCAATCTTTTCCTTTGCCCATTAGGGTTGATGAATAACATTCAAAAACTTCCTGCTTTTTTTGTCAATATTATGTATATGGTTCTCCACTGTTTCATAATTGAGCTTATGGGTTTGTTTAAATGCAATCTTCTGCACCTTTGCCTATGACGGTTTAGGAAATTTTTTGACTAGTGAGTGGGGCTTTTGAGAATTCAAGCACTAGGTTTACTTTCCCTTTTGTTTGTTTCTGTATCTCCAATATTGACATTATCAATTATCGTTTCTTTTAATTAAACGGGTCAAAATGGAGGGGAATGGAATAAGGGATTCTTATTGTCAATTTTGGTACTGAGGCATAGTTGTTATTCTTCTTCTTGGTGGTGTTGTTATCATCAATTCTTTTAATGGATTCACGGTCTTTAAGCAGTCGTTGAGCCAGGAATTCTAACAAGAGGATTCAAAAAAAAATGTGAAAATGTCATTTCTAGTACTCCCTCTTTCAAATTAGACGAGCTACTTTCTTTTTTAGTCTGTTCCAAAATAAATGACACATTTCTAAATTTGGAAATAATTCAACTTTGAAATCTTCATTTTTTTTACTCTTAATGAGAAACTTTTATAACCACACAAGTGTCATAGCCCACAAAACTTACCGTTTAAGCTTTTAAGACCACAAGTTTCAAAAGTCTTTCTTCTTTTTCTTTAAACCCTGTACCGAGTCAAACTACCTCATCTAAATTGAAACGGATGGAGTAGTATTATTTTTGAACAACTTTTGCCTCTATGCTTATTTATTTTTTTTTTAATTTCAAGGGGATTCAAAAACTCATACATATATATACAAGAAAGAATTTATTTTTACCCTATTGCACAGTCTAATTATTGCTCTTTAGTTTGTGATTCTGATGTTGTTTCATAGTTTATGAGCTATTTAAGCCGAATTAGTCATGGAATTTTCTCTCATTTGCTCTTTTCATTGAGCATGTCCGAGGAAAATTTGTTTAATGGATTGAAAATTCATTTGCAAATCTAATCTCCTGAACATGTTTGAGATTGATATGTGGGAGTTACTCATTTAGAAGCTGAGCGGGAAAATTCCTCATTACAGGGAGACCCTTTACGTGCACTAACAGCATCAGTATCATTCGGAAGATTTATGAATGAATCCCTGGCTTGGGAGAAGTGGTCATCGTTTACTCACAATCGGTATCAAGAGGAAGTTGAGAAGTACTCAAGGCCTGGTTCAGTTGCTGAGAAGAAAGCTTACTTTGAGGCTCAATTCAAGAGAGCAGCTGCTAAAAAAGCAGCAGCTTTGCTCGAGCAGCAGAATGCAGCAGTTGGTGTGTCAACTGATCTGAATGTGACAAATCAAATCAATGTTCATTCCACAGTGGACTCTGAGTTGACAGGGACTAGCAGTTATGTGGGTGCTGATGAAGCACAGAGAGAAGAGGGGGATGTGACAAATCAACCCATTGATGATTCCCCAATGAAATTTGAGTTCACAGAGAATGGCAGCTATGGGGTCACTGAAGAAGCACAGGGAGGAGAGGACCATCTAAATGTGACAAATCCAAACCTTGACCATTGCACAACCTGCTCTGAGTTGCCAGAGAATAGCAGCTATGTGGGCGTTGAAGAAGCGCAGGGAAATGATGGGGATAATACATCTTCTTTTGGCAGCTATGCTACTCACGAAAAAAGTAACTTAGAACTTGCTGAGACTGAAAACTCAGCAGAACAATCTTATCCAACAGAGAATGAAGTCAAGTCATTGAATCAGGCGGAAAATGTTGTTGTAGAGGTCAATGAGAATATAGTCCAACTGAAGAAGAAGAAGAAGAAGACGCAAACAAAGGTTTGTCTGTAGCATTGCATAGTGCTTCTTTCTCTTTTAAGCTAAACTGGAATTCCTTCATTTCTAATTGAACATGCTTCAATCTCGTAGAATGCTTTTATGGCGGGAGACTCTGTGCTTTCACTGAAGAAGAAACCACTGTCCTCAACGAGTAGATTAACAAATAACAACGAATCATCAAAGTTGAGATCTCGTGTCAAACCGATGACAACTCTGCCACTGAAAGTGACTGATAATAGAAAGAATGGAAAAGACTTGATTGACAAAAAGCGGTCAAATCCAAAATCTCTTCAGACGCTAATCAAATTTTCTTCTCACAAAGAGGAAACAAATAAAACATTGTCTCCAATTCTTGAGAAGATAGTGAATTCAAGACTTGTCAGATCCGTCACCAAAACATCTAAAGACGGCAAAGTTCAAGAGACTTCAGCTCTGGTGCATTAATTGATCTTTGTCCTTAATTTCTCCTGGATTCTTGCTTTCAGTTATTTGATTTGATCATGCCATATGCATCTGCAAAATGCAGGCATCTGTAAGTGGGATATCAAAGCGCATTTCTGAAACCCCTCAACGAGAAAATAGAAGGTAAACTACATACTATTAAGAACTGAAAGAGCAGGTTAATGAAGACAAGACAGAGCATTATAATGATTTTTCTAGAAGTTGTGGCTTTCATTATTGATAACAGCAGTCGACGATCTTTAGTGATCTAAATGTTTTACTGAAACGGTCAAACTCTTTGCTTTTGCAGGACTAGAACAAAGCTTGACCAACCATTCTGTAGAAGCGACACAGAAAAGGGTGAATTGCTATCACACTCAGGGTGAGAGCTTCTGGACCCATCTTTTGTTTGGGAATTTGTCTTTTTTGCCATTTGGTTATTGATTTCAGTTTGAAAAGGACCTTCAGTTATCTGTTGAGGAGAGAATGTAAAGTGAGCTTTCTTTCATTTATATGCATGCTCTTCAAGATTTGACTTTAATAATCGTTCTAGTTCTCTACATGTTTTTTAAGTGAAGCACCTTTCTGCTTTATTTGATGTAGTTAGTTTCTAAATTTTGCAAGTAGAGGCAAATAAAAGGTCATGTTGCAAACAACGATTGTTTTACCTAACAATTTACTTTGTTGGGCCATTTTGAGCTGAAGCCATTTACCTTTTGGAGCAGAAATTTCGAATCAATAAACGAGAATGGAAACAGAACATGTTCCCGTACTGTATTTTCTCCTTTCAGCTTAAGAAGTGAAGAAAGAGCAGCAAAACGAAGAGAGGTACATGAAGAGCTGATCAATGTCTATGTTTCTGTTCTTTCTTTGATTTGTCTAATCTGATCATGCACTTGTAATCTGTTCCACTTCAGTTCTTTCAGAAGCTAGAACAAAAGCCGAACACAAAGGAAGCAAAAAAGCAGCAGTTACATGCAAAACCAAAGGTCATTTCCATCACTTTGTTTCCAGAGGAATAACATATGTGAAATATAGGCTCATACTATATGGTACTCATCATAAAATTAGGCTGGACCTAACACTCTTCCTCTCTCTCCATGAAATGAGTAAGGAGGCGAAGAATAGATTTTAGGATCACCAAAGACATGAAATTGAGTATTTTGCAGACCATCACACCATATCCATGGAATATATACATTTTCCAAATTAATATCATCATTACCACTCCTCAACTCTAGCAAGTAGAGGATAAATGAGACTACACATCTTGAAGGAATGGGGCTGAATTGGTCTCATGTGTCTGAGCAGAGAAGAAGATTGAATTTCTTTGGCAGTATGCTAACGGGAGTTGATTTCTCATTTTTACAGGAGAAAGCCACCAGCAGTTCTAAAGTGCTTATATCAAGAGCTAAACCAAATCCAAGCATTCATCATGAAAGAGAATCATTTACCAATCAAACGAAAAAGGTACTATTCCCTTTTCCATTGACAAGCTGGTTGTCACCATTAGCAGCAACATCGTTGAATCAATGAGGCGGAATTGGTTCATGTTCCTGAGCATTGAAGAAGATTGAATAATTTCTTTGGCAGTATGCTAACGGGAGTTGATTTCTCATTTTTACAGGAGAAAGCCACCAGCAGTTCTAAAGTGCTTATATCAAGAGCTAAACCAAATCCAAGCATTCATCATGAAAGAGAATCATTTACCAATCAAACGAAAAAGGTACTATTCCCTTTTCCATTGACAAGCTGGTTGTCACCATTAGCAGCAACATCGTTGAATCAATGAGGCGGAATTGGTTCATGTTCCTGAGCATTGAAGAAGATTGAATTTCTTTTGCTAGTTATGCTAAGGAGAGTTGTCTTCTTTTGCAGGAGAAAGCCACTAGAAGTTCTAAAGTGCTTACATCAAGAGCTAAACCAAATGCAGGCATTCAGCTTGAAAGAGAATCATTTGCTAATCAAACGAAAAAGGTACTATTCCCTTTTCCATTGACAAGCTCGTTGTTACCATAAAGCAGCAACATCGCTGAATCAATGAGGTGTAATTGGTTAATGCTCCTGAGCATTGTAGAAGATTGTATTTCTTTGCTAGTTATGCTAAGGAGAGTTGCCTTGTTTTGCAGGAGAAAGCCACTAGTAGTTCTAAAGTGCTTACATCAAGAGCTAAACCAAATGCAAGCATTCAGCATGAAAGAGAATCATTTACTAATCAAATGAAAAAGGTACTCTTCCCTTTTCCATTGACAAGCTAGTTGTTACCATAAAGCAGCAACATCGTTGAATCAATGAGGCGGAATTGGTTCATGCTCCTGAGCGTTGTAGAAGATTGTATTTCTTTGCAGGAGAAAGCCACTAGTAGTTCTAAAGTGCTTACATCAAGAGCTAAACCAATTGAAAGCATTCATCATGAAAGAGAACCATCAAGTAATCAAATGAAGAAGGTACTCTTCACTTCTCCATTAGCAAGCTAGTTGTTACCATTAGCTGCAACGCTGTTGAATCAATAGGGTGGAATTGGTCTCTCCTGTGTGTGTGCAGGGAAGAGGATTGAATTTCTTTTGACAATGTTAAAATATCTAAAGAGTATGTGTCTAGATTCATAAAGGTCTAGATTTATTGTACTTGAATAGAGAAAATCATACAGAATTTATACATATCCTTAGACTTGTATAAAAGGAGCACCTCTTGTACATTATTAGTCAAGACAATCACATGGTAGCGAATTCTCAATTATCTTGGTAGAGACTTAAAGAGCAAACGGTACTGCAGACTCAAAGAGCTTCCGCTGCTGGCAGACGATTGAATTTCTTTTGACAATGTTAAAATATCTAAAGAGTATGTGTCTAGATTCATAAAGGTCTAGATTTATTGTACTTGAATAGAGAAAATCATACAGAATTTATACATATCCTTAGACTTGTATAAAAGGAGCACCTCTTGTACATTATTAGTCAAGACAATCACATGGTAGCGAAGTCTCAATTATCTTGGTAGAGACTTAAAGAGCAAACGGTACTGCAGACTCAAAGAGCTTCCGCTACTGGCAGACGATATCGGCCAATGTGTACTGCCTGCCAAGCCAGTGTTCTCTTGTTTGTTCTTCCTTTTAGTGACCGTCGACGCCCCTTTATTCGGCAACCAGTACTCCTATCTCTGGTCGACCTTTCAGGTGTCACTCCTCTCTCTAGGATCATTCGACCACCCTTCATCTCTTCAGCAACCGGCGCTGCTACTTTTTACGAGACCAAATACCTCCTCTAACCTTGAATTTTCTAGTTATTGTTCTGTCAATTCAAATTACGTTGATAATGTTCACGATTTTTGCAACCCCATATCTTTTCAGTTATTGAGAACAGATTCTGGAGGAAAAAATTCCAACACTGCTTTAGAATAGAATATCATGCAGAATTTATTTGTACATAGCAAAGACTAATATATAAGGAACGCCTCTACATTGTTAATCAAGTCAATGAGAAGCTTTTCTATTTTCATGGGAAGTATGCTAAGGAGAGTTGTCTCGTTTTGCAGGAGAAAGCTACTAGTAGTTTTAATATCAAGTGAATATGTGTCTAGATTCATACACGTCTAGATTCATTCTATTTGAATAGAAATCCATACAAAATTTATTTGTACATAGCCTAGGACTAATATATAAGGAGCACCTCTACATTGTTAATCAAGTTAATGAGAAGCTTTTCAATTTTCACAGGCAGTATGCTAAGGAGAGTTGTCTCGTTTTGCAGGAGAAAGCTACTATTTGTAGGTTTAAAGAGCTTACATCAAGAGCTAAACCAAATGCAAGCATTCATCATGAAAGAGAATCGTCAAGTCATCAAATGAAGAAGGTACCATTCTCTTTTCTTCTTTGACAAAACTAGCTGTTACCATTAGCAGTAACCATATGAAATTGATAGATAACACAGCTGCTTAAGAAACAATTTGCTTTCCCATACACGTGTCACTTGTTGAAGACCAATGTCAAGGACACTAGACAAAGTCTTCTATGCTGGTAAAACCTAAGTTGACAGGACACTAGACAAAGTCTTCTATGCTGGTGAAACCTAAGTTGCTCGGACGCGGGTGCGGATCTAGAGGCCGGATCCTTCGAGATGTAAATTCTAACATTCGGTGATATGGATCCTCGTATAGATATGGGTGCGGGGATCTGCCTAAAAAAAATTTAAAAAATAAAAACATAAAAATATCTCTAAATTATGAAAAATTTTGTGGAATACTTAGATATAACTTGTAAAGTGTAAATTTCTTTTTTATTCTCAAGTTGTAGATAAGTAAAGGATTGATTTTCTAGATAAGGTATATGCATGATTTCGGGAATTAAATTGTATCTCGTCTCAAATTTTTCTGTCCGTCGTGGTTAAAGTACCTAAAATTGTTTGATCACACCCATACTAGTGTCGTGTCGACACGGGTGCGGCACCTAAACTGACGTGTCGGAGCAACTTAGGCTGAAACTGTACACTTTTTGGTTCTCACCTTATCCATCTGCGGTTTGCAGATGCCGCAGCAACCTTGCTCGCCAAAACTCAGTAGGAAGCCAGTGTCAGAAGTCCAGGACAACAAAAGTCGACAACCCTGGAGGCTTTTGGGGAAACCTTATGGATCAAAAGATGTTAAAAGGGAAAACAACCTTCCAAATCATTTCCCAGTGAAAGGTAGATCACACAATCCCAAATCATTTATCAGTGGGAGTACGCAGGAAAATGCTTCGCCAAATATCCAAGTTTAAGACAGCTGCCGATCATAAAGAGCATTTTCTGCATGTTATATAAGACACTGCTCCAAATGTCTAATTCAATAGGGTACCCATTGTGTTTCCAGTCGAGTGGTGAAATTCTGCATGTTATATAAATATTATATATGGTTTAATTCTTGGCTGACTTTGTCATTTCTTTTTAATAATATTAATTTTGGCATCTTATGCAGCTAATACAGAATAAAGATAATGATTGAGTTTGTGACAGGACCAAAATCAAGCTTCATGGTATGGCACCTATGTTACAGAATAAAAACATTGATTTTCTGGAGATTTTATGACTGGGCCCAAACTCCAGCAATTTCTCTTTCAAATCTTGGAAAAACCTTCATACTAGTAACAATTTGCAGAAGCTCCTTTTCTGTCTCTTCTCCGATTATCTTTTATGACCAAAGATGAGTACATCTGGAGGGATCAGCGTTGCAGCGTGGTAGTTGCTGACCCTTTCTAAATCTACTTACAATACCAGATAAAAAGAGTAATTTGTGTTCAAGAAGTGCCCATGCTCGTAAAGTACATTTTTGTGAAGATGATCTTCCACTCCACCAAAATCAAAAAGCACCTCTTTTCTTGGGACGGTTTCTTTAGTTGAGAAAAACATGCCAGTTGTCGATGAGCAATGCATATTGTCTACCCCTCTAAAGCTTCCCAAATGGATAAAGGTTAGACTATGAACAGACCTTGGTCCAACACAATACCTTCCAATGAATCATTTGGATACTCATAATCAAACCTCAATGTATCATACAAGCATGTTGGAACTCCAGAAATGGTTTGTGGATCACTGTAGTCAAATTGTTGTATGTTCCGAAGTCCATAATAAGCTGGAAAACATTCACCTTGAATAGAAGCATCCTCACCTAGAGATGCAACAACTGATCCACTTCCCAAAGTTAGATTTCCTGGGCTTGATTGCAGACCATTGACTAGATTTTGATCTACATTTTGACTCGTCATACTCCATGTAGTACTTGGAATTTGCTCAAGAGCATGAAAATTTATTTGATGGCTCACAGGTTGAATGGCTTCCAATGCAGATAATTTTCCTACTCCACTTCTGCTCTTGAAGAAAGAAGGCTTATTTTCTTTACTGGAAACTCTGTCCCTCACTTCATGAGAAGGTACAAAGTTGAGAGAACAAGTTGGTTGTGTGCAAGACGGAAAACGTGGTTTGAAATCTTGTTTGTATTGAGGTTGTGGAGCTTCTCCAGTAAAGCAATATGGAGTGGGTACATTGAGACTTTTTACATCGGTATTGATCAATGCAAAGGAATCACTGAGGCTTGTCTTTGAACCAAAGTTATCTCCAACCACAGACCTAGGCTCTGCTACTGGCATTGAAACAACACCCTTTACCTTGCTCTCATATATGTTGGCCTTCCCATTTTGAACAATAGCCTTGTCTCCAGAAACACCACTACACTTGTCATTTATAACATCAGCGCACACATCCACTGGATTCTGAGGAGAATTTTCTTTAGAAGAAACATTCGGATGCTTCATCCCACAAAATGAAGCTTTGACTTCATTTTCTTTCTGCAACCTAGTCAAGTATAGGCGATACTTCTGCAAGAAAATGATACTGTTGTGAGAACCTTTTTACCCTTAAGTTTATAAAACCTGGATTTCAAGAAGCAGAGAAGACCGCTCATGTTATATAGTCAAGGTGAATAGACTTACTATCCTTTATTTTATTTATCTCTAACTGGATCTGATTTTAGTGTGGAGACAATTTTCAAGAACCAAATCTGATCACAAGCGAGAGGTTCTTGGCTGAAGTGGCTGTATATGTTGGCAAAGTATGCCAATGCCTCTCATAAGAAACACAAGTTGTAAAAATATTCACCTGTAAGTGGCTAGCAACATTTTCTCTAGTCAACCATGGAACACCCATCAAGTCCAGTATCTTCTTGGGACCAGCTTCTGCCGGAAATAAAAAGCATTAACACTCTATCCCAATGGAAATAATTATTAGATATGCATACAGAAACTTTGAAGATGAATGGAGTTTAAGTTTAGATTTATATCTTTTGGTGCAACTTAAAGAGAAATTTTGATGAACTTACTGTCAAATCCAATCTGGTTTACGGCTTTGACAAATTTCTGATGAAGATCTACAGTCCAAACTACTCTGGCTTTCTTCATGGAAGAAGAATCAACACATCTTGAATCAGAAATTTCTTTTTCATTGTCAAAATCTTTTCTCTTCTTGCCCGAAAGGAGTTCAGTTCCATTAAGCATCCACACTTCATCAAATTGGTCCATTTCATGGTTTCCGATGTCCCTTGCCTCGTGCATCCTTTTTCTGAGGACATGCTGCCATATGTTTCTAAGTTCTTTCATCCGTATAGGCTTCAAGAGATAATCACATGCACCGTGTTGAACGCCCTTCATCACCCTGCTTGTTTCTCCATCGACAGACATCACTGGAAAGGTAATATGAAAAATCAGCATATATGTAGTGGAGAAGAGGGAACAAAAGTTAGTACGTAAGGAAAGAGAACTGACTTATGACAGGAAGATCCATCTCAAGTCCAACATGCTCAAGAAGCTTAAATCCATCCATGTCAGGCATGTTAACATCACTAATCACAATGTCAAACCCATCCTTTCTTTCTCGGAGCAGATTCAGAGCCTCTCGTGCTAGACCACATACCGTCACTGCAAGAAACCAGTTATAAGATTTTGAGAAACCAAAGGTTGCAACTAAGAAAAAGAGTTCTACTTTAAGCTTAGAAGAAGTATTTGATATCTTTGTTTTATCAATAATGATTCATCACAGTGGACCAAAAGCACCAAAATAATACAATTGAGAGATGAGATGTGTATCACCAATGAGTTAGAGAATCCACATAGGTTCAAACTCTCAGTGCAGTTATCTCTAAAGCATCATACCAGAAGCATGATGCAGAGGTAGTTAGGAATGACCTGACTCTTGAGATAGAAAATAAAATTGTATTATGCAAGTATGAGAATTTGCAAAACTACTGCTTCAAAGATAATCATAAATCACCAATTGAGCATTGTGATCTTCATACGAGTAGGTGTAACTGTTTAACTCAAAAGGGATAGATTTACATCCCCAATTCAATGGAGCTATGAAGCTCCATTGAATAGATTTAAAGATAAAATAGAATGTCGATAATTGATTGTCAGTCTGAAAATCCAAAGAATTAATTTCTTAGTTCTCTTTGATGCCTCAGCTTGCCCCAAGAAAAGAAAGACCATTTGAAGTAGTAAATTAAACTTGCAGAAACAACAATCAAAACTGGCAGAGAACCAAAGGTGCACTAAAAACAATTTCATTGTTATTATCAAACAGAAAAGGCGTGGAGATCAATCAGTATAAGGATTCTGTAAAGAACTTTGCCTCTCTTTGGAATCTCACATAGGAATACATAATTCTAGGACTTTCACATGCACATAGAAAGCATCACAATTCTGGAAACAAAAACACACAGCCTTAAAATCGAGCTATGGAGATGAATTGTTGAAACTATAATTCAAGCTTCAAAATCCAATAAGATGATGCCACAAAATTTTCAAGAAAATGAGTAAAAAGGGTGTCTTTTTGCAGTAGTAAAAACAGAATTCAAGCTAGAAAATCCAAGATCATGCAACAAAGTGAAAAAATGAGTAAAAAGGGTATCTTTAATTAGAAAAAGAAAAAAAAAATTATGGCAGCATGAAACATTTCGCAACCTGATATAGGCGGTCTACTATTCTACGGCTCGACTTTGTGACCCGTAGATAGCACGGAAATAACATTGCTCCAAGACTCTAAGAAAGGGGGGTGGTAAAAAAGAATTCAAGCTGTATGAATTCAACCAGGTAGGATCATCATACAAAATATCAAGAAAAGGAATAAAGAGGAGGTTTTATAAACCTTCATAAGAGCACTTCTTAAGCATCTTTTCAAGAATTTTCAACCAGGTAGGATCATCATCAACAACAAGAACCCGTAGACCAGCCGGGAAATTATCACTTCTTGGAGAAGAAAACCCTGCAGTGGTCTTACTATTCTCCATCATAAAACAAAAAAACTCCAGATTCAGGACGACTACAACTTATACCTGCGCGCAGCATATATATATATATATATAAAATAGGAATAAACAAAAGCAATAATGTTTTGATATGTGATAAGAGAGAGAGTGAGAGTGAGAGTGAGAGTGACAGACTAAAAAAGGAAGCTGTGTGAGACCCAATGACTTTTAAAATGGAAAGCTTTGTGGGAGGAGAATGAGGGAAACAACCAGCATTTTAGCGCCGGCTATCTCTATCTCGTTATAACGTCGTGTATGACTTGGCACTTTTTTTCCCTTTCAAATATCTTTGTTTTTCTCACAACATTATCAAATAGGACTTCATTTCAACAAAATTAGATTTTGACTTCTTTTTTTTTTTTTCACCTTGCAAATTTGATGAGCCTCTTTTGGGATTCAAAATAAGTTTACATTTACAACTCTTATGTGTGGGCATATTAGAGGACTTAAACAATAAAGGAAATAAATATTATCATAAATATATATTGTTGAAACAAAAGAAAATGTATTATTATAACAAGAGACTTAAAGTTATCTATCTATGTTTTGTATTACTATAAAAGCACAAAATTCCAGTATAAAATATTCATCGATCTTTTATTCTTTATAAGTGCACTCTATGTAGAATAAAATTGTAATAAATTATTTATTAAAGCTTCACTATTTTTTTCCTAATCTCTTTTTTAGTTAACCAGTCGAGCCTTTATCTACCACAAGAAAACTAGCATATCGTTAAAAATTTACAATTAATTTTCAAGTTCTTATTTTAATTTTCCAGAATTTTAATACATTAGAAAATTGGTAACTTTAATTTTTTGAAATCATTATGTCCTCTATGATCAGGTTAGAAAACCTGTAAATATCAATTTTCATACCGTTTTCAATTTTTTTGGGGTATAGTAACCAGGGGCGGCCATCCAGATTTGGGGGGGCCTCATTTTTTATTACAACTAATAAGCTATATAAGTTTAAAACAATTATGTGAAATGAATATTTGATTTCTTACTTAACAAATAGAAAAAAGAAGTATTTGCAATTGCTATGATTTCTGCCAAGAAAATTGCATCTGAAAGAAATATTGAATCCGAATTTCGTAAGNGAAGAAAGAATTTGATAAAAATGTTGAAAATTAAATCTCAAAATCTCTCAAAGAATCTTTTAGAGTTGACTGTTGAGTACTTTTATACATAGTAGACAAGATTACTTTTCACTCATAATAGAGTCGAACAATTCGAAGCATATGATAATATTTTTGGTTCTCTAAGCGGTAAGAAATTGAGATCACTAGATGATGGAAATTTGAAAACATATTGTTTTAATCTTGAATGTTGCTTAAATTATAATAATCAATTCGATATTGATGGTTTAGATTTATTTTGTCAATTAATCGTGTTATGAAAAATTGTACAATTAGAAGATAACAATTTATTTGATATACTCAATCAAATAAGAGGATTTGATTCTTTTTTCAAATTTCTATATTGCTTATAGTATAATATTATTAACTCATGTTACCATTACTTCATCGGAAATAAATTTTTCAAAACTAAAATTGATAAAATCTTACATAAGATCAACAATATCGCATGAGACGTTAAATGGATTAGCTATATTGTCAATGAGAAAGACTGTAATGTTCGGAGATTCCTAAGTGACTAATTAGGAAAGTAGCCTTCTTATCTTGGAGACTTGGGCTTAGCTTCAGTTGATTAATAATGAATTCCATCTTATCAACTAATGAGGCCCAATTGGAATTAAGGCCCAATACCATTCAACAATAAATACCAGCAAAAGGAGCTGAAGATCCAAGCATTATATGGTACAATTCTGTTACAATCCCAACTGCATATCCTTCTCTCTCTAAATTCCTAACCAACTTCTTTTCTTCTTCTTTTCTTCTTCTTCTATTTCAGGTACTCTTGTTCAGTAGTTATGGTGGAACTATTGTACTTAGTTTAGTAGATTCATTGTAAAATCATTTTTTTGACATTTGATTAATAAAGCTTGGGTTTTTCATTCTCATTTCTTCAATTCTGTTCATTTCTTGAAGAAAACTACTAGTCTATTACAAGTTGGTATCAGAGCAAGTCCTGGCAACATGACAGCACCAGAAACCCGATCCAAAGTTACAGAAGAAAGTATCAAAAAACTGGAGAATCAATTACAAAATTACATGGCAGAAACTAGTAAAAAGCTAGAATCGAATGACTCTAAAATGGATGAACTGAATCACAAATTCGATCTTTTGATGGACAAGTTCTTCGCAAGCAAGGATGGAATTTTGGGAAGTGCTCCAACAGCTGCTCATACAATAGAAGGATTTGTAGTAGAGGTAGAATGATGGAGAATCACGAGATTCCTGTGGGGTGATTCCAACTCCAAAATCGACTGCCCTTACTTCGAAGAAGGAGATCCAAAAGCTTGGCTGCGAAAATGCGAAAGGTATTTTCATTACAATCATATAATTGATCCACAACATAAACTTGAAACTGATGTACTGCATTTGAATGGTAGAGCAGAGGCATGATATTTTTCTTATCAATTGAGTAGGGGTACTGTTAGATGGGGTGAATTTGTGGAGGAAATCTGTAAAAAATTTAATGATGCTGATAATAGCAACCTAAATCTGCTAGGAAGTTTAAGAGGGTAGAGCAAAATGGATTAGTTAATGAATATTTGGAGAGGTTTGAAGATTTGAAGGTATGGGTGTTGATTAAACATCCAACCATAGCTGGAAAAAAATTTCTGGGGTTTTTTATAGAAGGGTTAAATAGGAGATTAGGCATACTGTTAAAATGCTTGATCCCTATTCATTAAGTCATGCAGTAGAAAAAGTTATACACAAGGAAGAATTAATGGAGTCAATGAATAGGAAGAAAGGGTATGGAGGAAGACAGAACCCTCAGCCAAGTACTTTTGTTATTACTACAGGGAGCAAACCTTCTAGCTATGTACAGAAGGAGAATAACCATCAGACTTCAATCTCAGGGACTAAACTCTTTGAAGTTAGAAAAGCCAGGGGAGAATGCTATAAGTGTGGGGAAAGATACTTCCCTAGGCATGTGTGTAAGAATAAACAATTCAACACATTGTCAGGAACAACAGAACAAGAGCAGTTAGAGGTAGAAGATCAAATGGAGAATGAGATAGTTCCTGTTGAGAATTCAGAAGCTATCATAGATGAGACAATTAGTCTCAATGCATTATCAGGGACTATTACTTCTATAACTATCAAACTGAAGGGAGTATATGGGAAACAGGTATTGATGATCTTAGCAGACAGTGGCAGCACTCATAACTTCATAGCTAGAAGCACTACCAAGCAACTAGGATGTGCAATCCAAGAAGCTGTACCAATGAGGGTAGCTGTGGCAAATGTAGCATCTGATGAGTTACCACTCTTGCCCTCGATTCAAGTGAAAAACTCAGGGCATTAAATTTGAACACAAATTGAGGTTATTAAATATTGGGGGTTGTGATGTAGTCTTGGAAGTGGATTGGATGAGAAAACACAATCCAATCCTGTTTGACTTTATTGCATATAGACTACAAGTGAGTGTGAAAGAAAAAAGGGTAGTTTGAAGGGATAGTCTGAGGAAGGCAAACTACATAGTATGACAACCACTGGGGTGAAACAATTATTGAAGAAAGGACAGGTTCTATGGGCACATTTGTTCACTATTAATGTACAAACCACATAATTACCAAGTAGCATACCTGATAAGATTCATGACATTATAGCTGAGTTCCCAGGATGTTTGCTGAACCAAAGTGTCTACCACCAAGAAGAACTCATGATCATCAGATTCCACTTAAACTTGAAGCAGTACCAATCAATATCAGACCATACGGGTACAATTATTTTTAGAAGAATGAGATAGAAAATCAAGTTAGTGAAATGCTTAATAATGGTACTATACAACCTAGCCATTCCACATTCTCTTCCCCTGTATTGTTAGTTAAGAAAAAAGATGGAAGTTGGAGATTTTGCATTGATTATAGGGAATTAAACAAAATGACAATTAAGGATAAGTTTCCAATTCCCTTGGTTGATGATCTTATGGATGAGCTTAATGGTTCTTGCATTTATTCAAAAATTGATTTGAGGTCTAGTTATCACCAAATAAGAATGAAGGAAGGGGACATCTACAAAACTGCCTTTAGAACACATCTATGACACTATGAATTTAGGGTCATGCCCTTTGGCTTGACCAATGGCCCAGCCACTTTCCAAAGCCTCATGAATCAGGTGTTTAAACCTTTTTTAAGGAAGTTTGTATTGGTATTTTTTTATGATATATTAGTCTACAGTTCTTCAATGGAGACTCATGTATTACATCTCAGAAAAGTACTAGAGATTCTATAGAAGGAGCAGCTTTATGCAAAGTTGTCTAAATGTGATTTTGGATAGGATAAGGTGGAATACTTGGGACACATTATCTCAGATGAAGGGGTTTCTACTGACCCTGCTAAAATTGAAGCAATGGTAAATTGGCCTGTACCTAAATTTGTAAAGGCCTTAAGGGGATTCCTAGGATTGACTGGCTACTATAGGAGATTTGTTAAATCTTATGGAATCATAAGCAGACCATTAACTAATCTGCTTAAGAAGAATGCCTTCCAGTGGAATAAAGAAGCAGAATCCGTCTTTCAGCAATTAAAGACAGCAATGTCAATAGTACCAGTACTTGGTTTGGCTGATTTCACCAAGCCTTTTGTGATAGAGACTGATGCATGTGCTACTGGAATGGGTGTTGTATTGATGCACGGAGGCAGACCTATAGGTTTTTTTAGCATAGCATTAACACTCAAGCACAGGGGATTGTCTACTTATAAAAAAGAGTATATGGCAGTTCTATCAGCTGTAGATAGGTGGAGGCATTACTTATAAGGGGCACTTTGTTGTTAAGACTGATCATCAAAGCTTGAAATACCTATTGGAGCAGAAGGTAACTACAACCTTACTACAAAAAGGGTTAACCAAGCTTATGGGCATTGGCTATGAGGTTCAATATAAGAAGGGCAGTGAGAACAAGGTGGCAGATGCTCTCTCGAGGAGACAGGAAGATGAATCTACTCTATTAGCTATATCCAGCCCACATGCTACTTGGCTGCATGATATTATTGATAGTTATGAAGGGGATCCTATAGCATTACAACTACTAAGAGAGTTAACCATCAATACTAACAGCAAAGAGGACTATACTTTACACCAAGGAGTCATCAGATACAAATAGAAAATCT